GTATCTTCCTTTTACATTGATACATGTTTTAACCTGACATGATATACTTTCAATACACTGAAGTAACATGGCGTCATTAAGATCATCCCATTCCTGCCAGATTGTATTAAGAAATACATCGCAGGTAATTTTTTTTTTGCTACTAAATACTTGATCTTTTTCTTCACCTTTCCCTTTAATACAGCCCATATATTTTCAATAGGGTTTAAGTCTAGGCTGTATGAAGACCAAGAAAGAACTTGTCCTGGAAAATATTTTTTCAAGTCCTCCTGAACATCGTGTGAGGTGTATTTTAGGTCATTATCTTGTTGGAAGACCCAGCCGCATCTGTATAACATATCTACATTATTATACAGATGGTCATCCAAGATTTTTCGATACAAATAACGATTCAAATTTTAAGTAAACAAATGAATGCTGATTTTTTCTTTAGCACTAATCACTGTCTAAACATGAACTTTGAATGAGTGCTTTACCATAGGGGCAATTGGTTGTACATTATGAGACTATGCACACATGATATTTCTAAATATCTGAAGTATTGTTTTATCAGAAAAAATAACTTTTTCCAGTTATATCACGAATAATCACGTATTCAAGATAAACTAAAATTCTTTGCTTTTGAATCAAAAGAGGAACTTTTCTTGGAAGAATAGAAACATATCCAAGATTGTTAAGCTCACGACGTATTGTATATTTACTGATATCAAGGTTGAGATCTTTTTCTTCTAATTTTACCTTAAGTTCGCCTGCTATAGTAAAATGATTATATTGCAGAATTTTTCCAATATGGCAACATTAATTTGAAGCCAATTTTCTTAGACAGTCAGAAGAGTGATCAATAGAAATTTTATCAGTTTTATTTAGTAAATTGATATACATTCATATATACGTAAAGGAATGTATAATTGATTAGAAAATTTCTTTGCATTATGTACTTTTTGGTCCTAAAGTGACTTAATAAAATTTCTTTGTATTTTTAAAGAGCTTGGCATAGTTTTGAAAAGGAAATCAAAATCAAAATAAATAATAAATCTTATTTTTTAACTTACTTTTTTAATTCAGATTCTAATGTCCAATTTAGGCATATAAACAAATGTCTAAATCCAGAAAGTGATAAAACTGTAGCCTAAAATAAATGCGATCTTCCACTGCCATTCTTTATGCTAGAAATTTTATACAGTCAACACTTGCTATAACGAACTCTATGTCCTAGACCTCAACTTCGCTATAAAGTTATAGTAAAAATTTTAAGAGATTTGATTGGCCAATTCGCTATAACAAGAGTATTTTTATTATATTTGTTCAAAAAATTCGTTATATCAAGAGTTCACTATATCAATAATTGACTGTATATCATTTAATTGAATTTTAAACTATAGAGTATTTACAGTAGATAGAAGAAGTAATTGAAAAAGGAGAATTGGATTTAGATAAATATTGAAAAGAAAAAAGTTTAATATTATCAAATTTATCAAAAATAGCATTAATTTATATTTGGTTACCAGTAGCTGGAGTAGATATAAAGTACAGTTTCTAATTATAAAAATATTTTAAGTGAAAGAAAAATACACCCTTCTAAAAAATCTATTTTATTGCTTAATTTTTTATATTATAATAAAAATAAATAAGATTTTTTTTGTGAATCATTTTTATATTAATTTACCTTTAATAATTTACCTAAAATTTAAAAATTTAAACATAATTTTTACCAGAATTTTGAACACATATTATCGCATATTTTATTTATTAGCATATACATATTTTGAGATTTACTATCACATTTTCTGGATACTCTAGTTTGTGCGATAATTGTTTTTCATCATCACTAATAATTATACTCTATTTTACACTTCTTTTACAATATGCAACTACTTTTCGAGTGTATATAAAATTTGAAATATCCTAGTAAGGCAAGCTACACGTTTGGTTTCTTATAAACAATTCTTATTTATAATGCTAATGTGCTATTTTTGTATTTGTAGCTTTTTGAAATAATACAAATAACTCATTCCTCAAAGGATTTTTAGAGTTCCAATCTGATTCTAGACTAGTGATTTAGATATTTCAATAGTGGAACACAATCAGTATAGTAAAGAATTAAATACCATAAGTAAATATTATGCTGAAGCTTCTAAGTTTAGAAAGTTAGTGCAAAAGTGAAAAAAGGATTTCAAGGTGATGTACATATTTTATTTAATCATTTTGAAATACTGTAGACTTTGTTCATAGTGATTCAATAGACTACTTCACAAATTGTCATATTTGTACAGACTATCTTGTGGATTATGAATTTGTAAGAGAATAATTGTGTATTTGATTGTTGTGGTTTTCAGATTATGTATTCACATAGACTACTTTGTGGATTGTAAATTTGCCTCATAATACTACTTGATTCGTTTTGCAATACTGCTGTTTAAACTGTATTTGATTAATTCTGTATCTTGCTTTTCCTTTTTCTACATTAAGGATAACAAAAATAGCAAGATTGTAAAGCTATTCTGAAATATAAAACACGTTATTATAGAGTCCAAGTTAGTCAATAAGAAATCAAAATTATTTAATATAAGTATTAATATTAAATTATTTTTTATTTACATTTAACTTATTTCTACTTTTTAGTATTATTAAATAAATATACTTTATAATCAAAAATTTTTTATTTACTTTTATTAAAATATTTATAATATTTATTAATACATATTAAAAATATATATAATATTATTTAATAACTTTTTATTTTGATTTTTTATTATAAATTATAAATATTTAAATATAAAATTTATTAATTTTTAATATAAATTATTCATTTATAATTAATGATATAAAATTTTTATATGATAAATTTTTTAATAATAATTAAATTAACTTTATTTTCTAAGAATTGCTATTTGTATACAAGTATTTAAACTAAAAGTAGTTCTAATAATTATTTTTAATTTTAATAAAGGTATAATTTAATTGCATTATAAGTAAATTTAATTATATCACAAGTTACAACTTGATTACATTATTTTTTAATTACAATATTTATTTTTAATTTGAATATTATATTAAATATAAGAAAATGATAAATAATATATTTATTTAAAAATTTTTTTAAGTTTTTAGTAAAATAAAACATAATAAGATATAATGTAATATAATAAATAGTAATTTAATTTATGTTTAACTTTAAATTAACTTTAATATTATATAATACTATATGATAAGTTTATATATATTACATAATTTGTATTTATATATACTTAAAATCTTTTTTTTTTTTTTTATATTTTATTTTATTATTATCTTTAAGTTTTGATTAAATTAAAATTTAAAAAAAAGATAATTAATCATTAATTTATAAATAATATTTTTAAAAAACTAATATTTTAAATTTAAATTTAGTTTAATATTTAGAAATTTTATTTTATTAAATATCTATTTATTACTAAAAATTTAAAATACCTATTAAACAAATTTTAAATTATAATACTATAAATTACTATAAAATCTAATTATTTCTTTATATAAAATACTTTATATATAAACTTTAAAATCTATAATTTATCTTAATATAAATTTAATTTTATAATATATTTAAATTATATAATAAAATATTTAAAATAATAATTTATTAGAAAAATACTTTATTTTATTATTTTTTTTTTAATAAAATTTATTTAGATAATATAAGATATAATTTTATAAATAAGAAAGAAAATTATATAGAAAATAAAAACTTTATATTTAAGTTTTTAAAGAATTTTCTAATAATTCAAATAGCAATTTCATGTTTAAAATAAGTTTTTTTAAAATATTTAATTATTTTTAAATTAAATATATATTTAAGTAATTTTTTAATATAATCAAAAGAATTGTATTAAATAAAGTAAACTATTTTAAGTAATATAAATAACTTTTTCTTATTTGTTAAATTATTTAATCTATTATATAAAATTAAAGTAAATGCTATAATTAATTATAGTTAATAATAAATAAGTATTATAATATGCAATTAATTATAAGATTATTAAAAATATAATTGTAGTTAATTATAATTGATAATAAATAAGTATTATAAAATTGCTATATCATTTTTAAGTAAAGCAATAAAATATTTTTAAAATATTTTTACTATTATATTTTATAATTATAATATAAAATTTTGCTATTTATAAACTAATAGATGATAATTTTTTATTTAATTTTTATAAAATTTGTATTTAAATTAGAAATCCTCATATTTGTTAAATACTAATAACTATATATAGTAAAATCTCTTTAAATGCATTTCTTTGTGATTAGGTATAAGTACAATTAAAGAAGGTGTGTATTTATAAAATACATATAAATCTATATAATATTAATCTAATAATAAAATAATACAAAAGATTTATAAGTAAACTATATAAAATTTTTTTATAAAAAGTGTATTTACGGAGCATTTAGCATTAAGATCTGAGTTGAAATCAGATATAAAGATGTATTTATATAGGGTATGCATTTATAGAGAATGCATTTATAGAAAATTAACTGTATTAGTAAACAGTATATAATTATCTTCTGATTTAATAGATCATATTATTTTTAAAATACATTTTATATAAATTTTTATAAATTTCATTTTTTTTTTTTTTTTTTTTTTTTTTTTAACATAATTATATTAGTACTATTATAAAATTAGTATAATATTAATTAAATATAAGTTTAATAATTAAGATTTAATCTCAGATGGTTAAGTATTAATTATTCTTAAATTAAATCATTGTTGAATCATAGTTGATTAAAATAATAATTAATCGATTCAAACTGATGCTTACGCTAAAATTTCTTGGTAATAGAGAAGAAAATTTTGAGTAAATCTTTTAAATAGCAGTGATAAATATTATTTTATTTTTTATTTTATTTTATTTTTTTTAAAAAAAATAAATATATATTTTTACATTTTTTAAATAATTGAATAGTTTAATGGCAATATTTTAATTTTTTTTTTTTTGATCAAATTTCATTATATATCACATCTCCATTTCAAAATCGTCAATCTTCGCATTCTTATCATTAACGATCGACGTTGATTTCACAATCGTTCCATCTAATCCTCCTTTCCATAGCGTAGTTGTGTTCCATTTGGGAAATACCCGTTTGTATAAATTCATCATCACAGTGTCCTGTTGTGTGATAGGTGAATCAAATACACATTTCATATATCCATGTGTACCCAAACTTTCTTTAATATGTCCGGTACGTCCATATTTGGTTGTTAATTGTACAGGCTTAAACCATAATACATCCTCTACATACATAATATGAATAGAGTTGGAATTAATTGGTTATTAATAAAATTAAAAGTCGATGTAAATTTAAAAGCATTAATTTACCAGGATTGAAAAACATGTATCGAATGACCGCAGATTTTTTATGAATTTTGTACGGATGTCCTGTAAGAATAATACGTTTAGCATTTATTCTCTTTGGATCTGAATTCAAAAAGCTTCCTGTAGCCACAAGTATTGGAGCTATTGTAAGGAAAAGAATATTATAATTATTTCGCATAATAAAAGATTGTTCATATTGTTGAGGCCAATTTATGAATAACAAACCATTAATATCTTCGGTATCTTTAAAAAGCATCATAGGTAAATGACCAAATTGCACCGGTCCATAAATAGAAGCAATACAAGTTCTTCCAGGGTTAAGAAATCTTTCAAATTTATGAACATTATTCGTTCCTTTTCCTCTTTGTGTGTTTTGTGAATAAATTGGATTTACTAAATATCTACGAAATCCACAATGTAAAATAAGTGGGTCCTTTAAATTTAAAAAAAAATGCATATAATTAATAATACCCTTATGATACAGTTAATATTTGACATTGCAAAATCTATAATTACTTTTGATTTAATTGGTTCTTTGTAGTCATTGTTTCTGGTGACAACAAAATTCATTACAGAAGTTTTGTGCTCATATTCCAGTAATCCAAATACATTGAATGGTCGAGATGGGTCGTATGACTCTAAAGACAATTTTTTTTTTAGGATAAAAAATTTTTAAAAAAAATTCATCAAAAAAAAAGTTTTACCTGCTACTTCTTTTGGGACATTAGATAAATGTAGCGTTATTCGCGCACCCTATTTGATATATATAAATAATCTAACCGATTCCAATAACGCGTAATTTATTTGAATTTAGTTATACTACTAACCTTAATTCCACATCCGCCTACAGCAGCCTCATTTATAACTCTATGTTTTGTCCTTTGATAATTCTCAAACTGGAATATACGAGCATAATCAATTGGTAAATTTTCCATTGGATCCCACGGTGAAGTACGAAAACTTTGCAAGCCTCGGTATCTTTGAAATCGAGTACGAGCTGTGATGCCTAAAGGTGTATCTACTTCATCTGGGAACTCAAGATCATCACGACGTTGTTTTTCACGATTGGCCAAATATTCTTTTAACCTATTAGAAAGTCGAAATAAATGTAAGCAAATTATTATATTCATATTAAGTTTTATATCAATACTAACTGTCTAGCTTCTTCCTCTGGGCCCAACATAGGATCATTCAAACTGGTTGTTTTTGTCTCAATCTCAATTTCCTCATATTCTCCCTCACTCTCATTGCCGACTTCTACATGAGTCAGTAGTTCATCTTTTTCATAAGTCATATCAACATCACCATCTTCATCAGTGTACTCTTCATCTTCATCCTCAGATCCAGAATCTACGATCCATGCTGCTTGATAGGAGGACGTTCCTTTCGGTACACGTTTCATAATTTTTTTTGGTGTAGTGCCAGGAAGCGCATCCGGCATATCATCTGGTCGCATTGATTCTGAATGTACTTTAAAACGACATAAATGATTTCAAATATGAGATTAATGTCGAATTTAATTAATTTAAAAATATGTCTTACCTTCCATTCCGGCCATTTCTTCTTCAGTTGGCCATGTTTGCTCATTTTCCATAAAAGTTGGCTCATTCTCTGATATAAGCGAATCCTAGTTAAAATTATGTAATTCAATTAATAATTCGTAAAATAACTATCGTATCAAATGTCAAGAAATATAACAAACCTGTAATTTAGGATCAGCCATATGCAAAATTTGAAAATTCTCTTCCTAAATTAAATTATTTTTTAGTATGTAATTTCAAATTAAAAATAATGCATTAAAAAATCGAATAGTTACCGAATCTTTATCATCGGCAATTTTCCTAGAAACAGTGATCTAACAAAAAATTGAATAATTGAATAATTTTTACGCGTAAAATTATTGAATTAAATAAAAAACGCGATAAACCGCAATTTTTTTTTTTTTAATTTTTTTTTAAAAAAAAGGAAAAAAAAAAAAGATAATTAATAAATGCCTCGAACCTGTTCCAATTGAAAATCACCAAAGTTTTGCAAATGCACTAAACGATTGGCTGAAAATGGTACACCTCTAGAATATCCCGTAACCTTAAGAGTCCCGAAATTCTATTAAAATTAATAATATGTTATTAATTCTTTAATCAAATAAAAGTATTTATGATCTAAAAACAATAAAAATATTTACATCATTATTTGGCTCATAAATCAACTCTTCAGTCAACATATATGGACGAATGTCTCTCCATAAAATTTGTTTAGGACGTTGAGTGCAAATTGTCCTTAATACATTAAGTGCATCCTATAAAAAAAAAAGTTCAAGTTAAATTTAAATTGATTAAAATAAAATAAATATCTAATATCATAATGAATCTACCTGGATTTGATCTGCAGAATGAATCTTTTCTTCATCAGGGAAGAAATGTTTCATATAACTAAGTAAAGATTTCTTAACATCGTTACGCTTCTTTTGTGAAATTTTTTCCATGTGCTAACAATTATTATTTTTATAAATAAATACACATCTATGATTTACACATTATAGATTTATTGCAAAAGAGATATATAAATTACTAAACCAACCATAGTAGTAGTTATAACAGTGGGTAATCCTTGAGATTGTATAGCCTTTAAACATGATTCACCAAATGGATCAACTTCTACTTCAGCCGATACAACAAATAATACATAATCCGCGATTTTACAAGCATCCAAAATGTCAATAAAGTTCCTTTCAAGAAGGATGAATTGAATTGTATGTTTAAACCTTTCAGCACTGTAATCAAAATAATTAACTTTTCGATCTTATTATAAAACGTATTTAATTAAAATAAAAAATCTATATCATTACTTCATATGAGCAATGCCTTTAAAAATAGACGGTTCTTGTAAATCAATACTACTATAAATAGACTTTATAGCATTATAAGAATCTACATCGGGACATAATGGTATCACGGCCTACATACATAATTATAAAATGAAGTTCATCAGCTGTATCATTAGAACTAAATAATTATTTTGAGTAGAAACAATTCATTTTTCAAATTTGAGAAACATACCACAATTTTAGGTGTTCCATGCCTTCCTTCAAAAAATCTGTTCGTCTTCAGCACCTCTTCTCTCTTCTTTTGTTGTTCCAATTTCGCCGCATTGCGTCTATCAACTCTTGAAATTGAACGCGTATTTGCACCCGAATGCTTTATAGATTTCCTGTTGACTTTACCTAATGATAAAATTTAACATACTACGTCGTATAAATTTGAAAATTTTTTTCTATAATTATTGAAAACATTTTTTCTTAAAGAATTTGCCTTTTATTTTGTCTTTAATGGCTCCTTTTGTTGCATGTTTAGACTTAAATGGCTTATTGGATTGTTTTAGTGAGCCTGCCTTATGATGAAATGGCTTTTCGGTAAGCATTATATGTATCTGATATCAGGAAAGTTATTTCGAGAGGAAAAAAATTTTTTTGAGTATTACGTAAATCTATATATATATAGTTTTGCTGAACCATAAAAATTCATAAAATTAAAAATTAATTTTTACTAGCATTAATTTTCATAAATCAAAATTGCATAAATCATTTTAAAATTTTATGTTCTTTTATTATCAACAATTCTTTCTTTATCTTGATGTATTTGTTTGAGTATTTTAGAATTAAATTCAACGTGTTTATTTATATTCAGTATTCTTTCACCGAACTTTAAACCTGCCCACACCTTAACAGCGGATTTGGCCTTTTAACTTTCAGTATCTGATACACCACCGGATTTGTTATTAATTGGCATGAGATTATTTCTTAATGTATTAAATCAAATGTTGATTAATGATAACGAAATTCTGCAAGGATGCATTTTTTAAAAGTCATATACTTGAATATTAAATTCAAAAATAAAAATAGCTATAAATTAAATTTTTTATTTGATCGTGAATCGACAAACTTATAAAGTAATTCCGGGATCCTTACCAGGATAAATCTTTGTTTTATTATTTAATAAAGAAGAAAGTATTTAATAGGAAGAAGAACCAAACTATAAATTGTTGAGGAAATTTTCTACATTGTCATTATTGATATTGTTGTTTCCAGTATAATCAAATCTCTTTAAATGCTTTCCTCTATGGGACCATAATGAAAATTTGAAAACGTGCATTTAAAGAAGATGTGCATTTAGAGTTTGACTGTATGTTTTCATCAAGTAGCATATAATAGTTTTGAAAAAGTCTAGAAGAATAGTAGTTGTCTTTTGCTTGTAAAGAGAAATAAGCAATAAGCTTAGTAGTATATTACCATATAATATATACAGAAGAATAAAATAAATATTGAATAATTTTTTTATTTTTAATTTATATGTTACGTTTGATATATTTAATATTTAGTATGACCTCCTTTAGTAGAAATAACTGCATAAATTCAAGAAGGCATTAAATTATAAGGTTTCAATTTATTTCTTTAAGAATCAACTTCCATTTTTCAGTAACCATTTTTCTAACTCTTGGATATTAGATGGTCTAGGTTTACGTTTTTGAAGTTCAGGCTCAATAATTGACCAAAATTTCTTAATAGGATTAAGGTTAGTTAGAACTCTGAAGTGATTATGATAAGCATTCTACTTTACTTAAATGAAGAAAATCTTATGTGATTTTACTATATGTATTAATGTATTGCCTTCTTGAAAAACAAGCTTTTTTTTAATCTTTTGTGTTTGTTTTTTAAGGATTGGCATAGCATAAGTTTCAAGGATTTTATGATAGGTTTTACCAATAACAGAATTAATTAATAGAATAATAGGTATGAGATCAAACCATAAAAAACAGCTTCAAAACATTCATTTGAAACTGTATTTTACAATTGAGATGACACAATCCTCATTAAATTCTTCATCAGATTTTTGTCAAATTCAATCTAACTTAAGATTTGAAATTGAGAAAAGGTAGATTCATCTAATCAAACTACTTTTCTTCAACCAGCTATTATTCAATTTTATGCTATTTCACAAAAGCAAGTCTTTTGATTTATTTGCAAAAGAAATTAATGATTTTAAATGAAATATATATGATCAAATATCTTTTACAGTAGCGGTCATAAGTATCTGACCGCCCGAGATCGTCCAAAATTATTATATAACTACCCCTTAAATTTTCCA